CAGGCGTCGTGCTACCGGCTGCCATTTTTGTTGGGAGTCCTCCCTGAACTTGTCGCGGGATAACGGGAGCGTGTATTTACTGCACAGAGGGGACGTTGGAGTCGCAAATGACGGGTGCAGCCATAGCTAACGCACCTGATGTAAATGTCTCAACCACTGATCTCTATTATAGGGGGCTGGATGGCGCATTCAGCAAACAGGTATGAAGCCACCAGAAATACACGGCTTGTGCCGGAAATAAGCGCTTAGTAGGCTTTGTACCCCTCCGAGTGCTGGATCGAAAAGCGTCGAGGGCGCTGGATTTCCGTTTGACACCTCAAAAGAGCCTGTTTGTTGCGCAGTAGGAGCGCATGCAGACCCGAGAAGTATATAGGGAAGCCATGCAATGTAAACATTTCGAGATTCTAGTTGATCAAGTGTGCATATGTCCCAAGTTCAAATACCTCAATTTCAGGATTTAATTCTGAACATGATTATTGAAACCCGTTCAAAGACACCGGAAAGTACGGACCAAAGCATTGACTCAATGCACTAGGAAGTCCAGCAGACGCCCGACTTCCGGGGCAGGCATCAAACCTCCGGTGGCTTCACTTGCGCCCTGCTCGGAGAGCGGCTATACGCTATCAGATCAGTGGTCTCAACCCGCGGCCACAAGTGTGCCACACGGTGCCAATTTTCAGTTCCATTTCGTAATCCGAGCAAAAGCAAACGCCAGTGCTTTTCAAATCTCCATGAAAAGCATGGTTTATAAAAAAATATTGAGGCACTGACCGCGGCCGCAACCATGTTCAAAACGATGAAATAAATTATCGGGGGCTGCAAAAACAAAAACTGATTAAATGAAAAAAAAAATACTGGGGTCTTCAAAATAATAAAAATCGATGCCTCAGGCAGCACACGCGTGGCGACGTCAGGCGGCGTCGCCACGCGTTTGGACGACGCCAGGCGGCGCCAGCGTCGTCCAAAATGGAAGCTCTTCCTATGTAGCGCCATTTTGAATACCGTAGCGCCCCTGGAGTGCGTCGTGTTCCGGGGCCATGTTGGGTCGGGAAACCGCTGTAGAACCTGCGGCCGCCCTCAGTTAAGGGAATCTGTGCGTGGGTCGTCGCTGGGGCGTCTTACGTCTTGACGCGGCTCGGGTGTTGAAACACTTTTTATTCATGTCTACGGTAGCAGGCACTGTGAACATTTTTTGCTCGGGATTGTGGCATCCACCACGGTGTTAGCGGTGGGAGTAGCAGTGGCAGTCATCAGAAAACATTTATTTCGCGCTTCACTTCAATTTTTCATGGATATAAATGCAGACGCGGGTGCACCCACAATCTTTTGTTGGTATGCGGGCGCAACATAACAAAAAGCAATAAGCATAACGAAAGAACTCCGCAAATATAGCAAATAAAATAAAAACATGTGGCGGCACAGGTCTCTATGGCGAGGACTATATACACACTGATCTCTATTCTAGTAGGCTAGAACGTGCATCGGGAGTCCGTTGGTGGCACCTCCGGCGGCCGTTGCTTGTCACCAGGCAATGCGAAACGCAAGTTCGTCTGCTTCTTTTGCAGGGGCTGTGGTGACGTCAAAACGACGCAGAGTTATGATTGGCTCTGATTGAAGGATAGTGGGTAGACCTCAAGGGCAGCTTGCTTTGACGTCTACCCACCATCCTTCAATCCAAGCCAATCAGAGCTCGTCGCCTTTCTGACGTCACCACAGTTCCTGCAAAAGAAGCAGACAAACTTGCGTTCCGCATAAACGCAGGTCCATGAGAGAAACACACAAAAGTAGGAATATTGACGGTTGTATGCGGTGCTCGAAGGCCAGTATTTTATCGTGTGCTTCGATCATTAGATCGGGTGCTTGGAGATCGAATCGGCATTCGTCAAGCGTTCGAACTCCGATTAAAAAATATCAAATGTGCCAGAGCACCACCAACCGTGCCGGTGTCGCTTGCTTCAGTTGCTACATAAATGACGCGTTCAACCAATCAACGAGACGCTCCGAGTTTTAGTTCGTTACCGAAGCCCTCACTGCAGTTCATCACTTGAGAGTGGCAAGTTTCATAGTATGCTTAAAAAGCATGGTGAAAGCTTGGAGTCATGGCCTCTGGTGCCCAAGCACGGCACGACCATCTGATTTCGGATTTCGCTTTTGAGTGGAAGTTGAAAGCTAAAAAGGAAGAAGTTTAAAATTCATTTCTGGGTCCCTTTAAGAATAAATCTTGAGATACGCAACCCCACGTTAAACCAATTTTAGAGAAAAAAAAAAAACACTGGATATGCGACGCGAGACGCCATTTGATTCAAAAGGCTCAACCCCATCAATCCATCCATTCGTCTAATTTTCGCGTATGCGGGTAGTCTGTTTCTTGCATAAGTTTTTGTTATAACTTAGAAAACTCGAACCTTATCGAACCTCGGCAGGTTCGCGACATCCTGCCACCATCAATAAACACACTCGACAGTGACAAGGTGTGCGGAACCACTGAAACTGCGAACTGCCAGTGTCCGTGCTGCGAGTTCGTCCCAGGAACGCGGAACTGACGTTGCTCCTTGCTGGGCCATACCAGGCTAAAAGTCAGGAAGTGTACCTATTCTCCGGAGCGTGGAGACAAGTCATCTCTCGAAAGAGCCTCCTCGTTTCGTTCGTTCGACGTGTTTTTAAAGAGGAGCCGAGGACGGATAAAGGAGCCGCCGTGACCAGGACCACTTTGTATTGACGCGAGGCGTCCGTCAAGTCCAATCAAACTAGCAGAAGGCAAACAGCGTGACTGGACACATTTGCAGCTCCCTCTCCCCCCGGCCGCCGCAAGAGACACCTGTCCTCGATTCCAATCGGCGGGCCTCTTCAACAAACAGCCGAACACGTTGCTTCCTGGGAGCACCCTCCATCCCCCCCCCCCCCCCCCCCCTTTTTTTTTTTTTATCCCATCCGCCCGAAGGCGACGCAAGCAAACAGCCAAATCAACAAATAGCCATAAGCTACTTCCTAGTCGGTGTTTGTGTTCTGGGCCATTTCTGACAGCGGGCTCGCACCTTTTGGACGGCACGCGTGATGAATTGCGTCCTCCGCGGACTGCCGAAGGTTTGGAGCGGTCCTCTGCCTTACCCCCATTGAGATCAGTTTGTTGGGCGGAGGAAGATGAGCGTCCATTGAAAAAGTAGTTCCGCGTGGTGGTAGTGGGTGGGAGATCCGGACAGAAGTCTGGAGTCGCGTTGCTTCGGCTGATGGACGCGGGCACGGTGCTGTGAGCGTGTCAATTCGTCCTTTGAGTGTATCGACCGAGTGCCAGCTTTGAGCGCTTGAAGCGCGTTTCGGTGGTCCCTCCGCCGTGTAAGCGTCCCAGTGGAGACGCCAGCTGAGCGTTCCTCTAGGAGGGCATGGGCGGCGACGCTGTTGAGTGTCGGGTTCCAACTTTAAAAAGACCGAGAATTTTTTTTTTTTTTTTAGAGCACAGCTTCTAGGCTCCCGTTTCCGGGTTTCGTGGCGCCAGCGTTGGTGTAACCGCGCTGAATTTAGGGGGAAAATTGACGTCACGTGACCTCCATACCAATTCAATTCCCCGATAAATTTAGCGGGGAATTGAATTGTTATGGGGGTCACATAACGTCAATTTCCCGATAAATCTATCGGAGAAACAGAATTTTTTCGCTAAATCGAGCGAAGAGACTGGATTTGACCGGTAAATCCAGCGATGAAACTGAATTTGTCCGCTGAATCTAGCGGAGAAAATGAATTTCACCGCTAAATTTGGCGGGGAACTGAATTGGTGCTGAGGTCAAGTGACGTGGATTTCCCGATAGATCGAGCGGAGTAACTGAATTTGTTCAAAGGTGACGTGACGCAAGTCATGTGACGTATTTTGTCCGCTAAATTTAGCGGGAAAGTTGAATTGGTGTTGAGGTCACGTGAAGTCAATTTTTCAGCTAAATTTAGTTGGGAAACTCTGGGAGAAGGGGAGGGTATAGAGGAGGAGGAGGTCAGGGTACGGAGGAGGAAGATGGGAGGGTGCGCAGGAGAAGGAGGGGAGGGTACGAAGGAGGAGGAGGGGCATACCCTCCCCTTCTCCTCCTCAAGAGCTGCGCTCTAGTTTCGCATTACAGAGGTTTGTAAACGTCTTTCATTTTTCTGTGCCTACATAATCCAGAAAATCAACAGCAAAGTTTGGCACACAAGGATGGTATGCAGTTGGTGGGAAAAGATACGGCATCGAACGGCACTTTACAGAGTGAGGCATGAAACATGATCAAATGCGACGAAAAACGCGAATACAACGCATTCGCCAAGTCGCAGAAGGCGAGAGCGGAGCGACAAGCTGGTCATCTCATGGTGACCACGTCACGTGATATTAAGATGGCGGCGCCCATTGGACGGAGGGTGAAAAATAGCATAAATGACATCATAGTCGAAATACTTCACTTGACCCAATTTGTTGGTACCGCTTAGGGATATACGTTTACTCAATCTGTTTCAACGGTTTAAGCCCTGTCCCGACTTTCTGCATGATATCTTTAAGAAGCAAAAATTTCAAAATCACTGCAATACGTATTTTGCACCCTCTTGTTTTTGCGTAAACGTTTCTTCATTCAACTTCTTAGAAACTTGTGCAGAGGATTTTTCGTCAACGTTCAAGGAGTCTGTTATCACATTTTAAATCAATTATCATAATTTTCTGACCTAACTGTTCAGTTCCCGCGGACAGACCTCCCGTGACCAAACCACGACTTTGATTGCGGCATTACTTCGATGATGCTCTTTTACTATATTGATATGAACGTGCGTATATAAACGTAATAAGATCCTGGACAACTGTATTTGCAGTTCAGGGAGCAAATATAACATACCACATTCTTTGGGCAGTGGGCACCACACCCTCTGGATGCATAATTGAAGTAACCATAAAACGGATGCGTGCCGCCTGCTATGCAGGTTAGAAACCGAACCACGGAAGCGAAAGTGCGTAAGGTTCGCTCATAAAAGCTTTGTCTCGTCCCTTCCAGCCATGGACTTGGAAGAAGGCAAGGCCGGAGGGACCTGGCTGGGTATGAACGTGACCGGAAAGCTGGCTTCTCTGCTCAACATCATCCAGCCACTCGACGAGATCACCGGAGACGAGAAGCTGCCCAGGGGTACGGAACAAGTTCCACATGACGTCTTGTTTTAAGGCCTTGTCCTCTAGGTAGTATTGTATGTGCAGTCCCGGCATCATTATCTAGAGTCCCTCGATGCTTTCTTTTACAAGTGACGTAAACCATTACACATAACGAAGCACAATTCCACAGCAACAAAATAGCGTCTTTCAGTTCATTCTGTTGCTGTGAGCCGCCATTTGCTTCCTAAATCCTGCACCATCACGCAGCCGGCGCTTCACAGTAGGCAGGTACACCCGTGAGCGATATGAACTTGAGGGTGAACAGCCCTCTTCTTGTTTTTGACGCTCCAGCAAGTTTTGGAACAAGCTCTGTTCCAGATAAGGGCAAGTTTAGACCCCAAGCCACGTACCATTCGAGACGTTGAGAGTTAATATAGCTTTAGGGAGCCGTAAAACAGGCCAGAAACCAGGTAAGGTGTTCACCTTCATATTGCCGGCGGGTGTACTTTTAAGAACCACAGCGTCTGTTTCACGATTACGTCAGAGCGCAGTAAAACCCCCGAATACATGCGACCGCGGACACACAAGGTGAGAACGCAAGGTCATGTAGTGATGATAATGCAATTAATGCTAAAGTGCAATAGAGCTGGACAGAAATAATCCCTAGAGAAAGGATTATTATTTTTATTTGGAGATTTGTGTTTGTCCTTTGGACCTCCCACTCACGATTCCTCGTAGCATAGATGGAAGTACAGCACACGTCAGTTGCTCGTCTGGGCTACCGGGGAGCAGGACCGCTGGTGCTAAGATGCGCTTCGATAGAAATATCGAAACCTAAAAACGTGTCCAAATTAAATTTCTTTTTTTTTTTTTTTTTTGTTTTAGACGTTGTAATACGTTGCCCCTGCTTTGTATATTTCTAAATGGAGTTGATTTAGTGGTTTTTCAGGATGCATACCAAGTTTCTCATTGGAACCATATGTTTATTTCTAGTAACTATAAACTTAATTAGTAATTGATTTTAAAGATTTAGCTAGTTACTCGTATGTCTTTTGGATCGTGCGCGTTTCACTTTTTTCTTCTTTCATAAAACATGTTCAATCAATCAATCAACTAATAAAAAGACAATCGTAATATTTTAGTTAACTAGACGACTTATCGTGCCGATTAGGCCCTGCTATTATGGGCTCCTGATCGTGCAACTCACGTGCAGAAACTGCATTAATGTACCTTTTACGGTTTTTTTTTTGTTTTGTTTTTTTTAAACACATGTGGAAAGTTTAAAAAATACCAGGTGTTTCAGCAAGAATCCTTTCAAGAATCCTTAACAATGAGGTGATTGAGAAGAAAAAGGGACACTTCCCGAGAACGAATTGCCAGCCCCGGCAAGCATTATTCTCTCTAATCAACTATCTGTTGATATTGGAGAGAGAAGGGGGGGGGGGGGGGGGAATGGGTTGTGTGCAGTGGCGTAGCCAAAAAATATTATCGGGGAGGGGGGGGGGGCGGGGAGGGGGGGGGAGGGGGGGGGGCTGTTTCAAGGTGCTGATGCAGTTACACACACAATAAAAAAAAAGATGTGTATATATAATAAAGTAAAATTTTGGGGAGTGTTCTGACACCTCAACACCACCCCTGGCTACGCGCCTGGGTTGTGGATACCGAGGGGGGTACCAGAAATGTCTGTAATCAGATGGAGTCCTGGTATGAACAATATAAACATATAGTTCAAATCAGAAACTTCCTGAGCGTCATTGAAATCCACTAAATCAGTCAATTTTAGAGCGAATTGAAGCACGTGTGAAGCACGCTGGAGCGCTAAAGTTACCACTCGTAAAGCAGAAGCAAGGCTACCCGTGAGATAAGGTGCCCGGGCGGTTTTTCCGCCTCTTACCAACCGCGTTTTCTCTCCACCAATTTCATGCCTTTTACAGGAGTGGTAACTTTAACGCACTGCTGCACTTCCCACGAGTCTTTCTAAAAATTACTGAGTTGGTGACTTTCAATGGCGCTCAGTGAGTTTCCAGTTGGAATCATCTGTTTATTTTCACAAATTAAAAAACGAATTAACAAATTTCAAATCGTTATTAGACATACCGTGACGATTGGCCCCTCATTTTATGTCCCCCTGGCCGCATAACTCACCTGCACAATCGGCATGTGTGTAGTTTTTACGGTGTTTTAAAGACAAATCTGTAAAGACTAAAGAACACCCTGTGTATGAAAAAGTTTGCGAGTGCCACGGTTCGCCCGAGACGGATCGCAAGCTGAATGAAGAGAAGGCCAGGCGGCGGAGAAATTGCTACTACATTCTATTTACAAAGTACAAATACGAACAAATGGCAAGTCAAGAGGCAAATTACAACAAATATATTTACAAAAATACGTTTACTATGCAGTTTAATGACAGGCAAAGAGGCGTACCCCAGTCCCTCACATCAAATGCCCCTGAGAGCTTGTTGCGTGGACGAACGTCGAAGAGCTGCAGCACCGTAGTCACTTCGAATCCTGGACTTCTGAAGTAAAAAGGGTTGCTGTTGCAGCTTGGACGTGGGAAGAGCTCGGCAAGTCCCGGGCCATAGCCATAGACCTTCTTGCGGAGCTCCTCCTACGACCAAACCTCAGGATTCGCTGGCCATCCTGTCTCCTTTTCCTTCTACCTTCGAGCTCTGTATTTTGCAGTCCACTTCTTTCTTCTCGCAGAACCGTGACCAGCAAGCAAATTTCAAAATTCACTTCAAAAGAATTCAAGCGTCTCCTTCTCAACGTTTTTAAAGTAGCGTAATCGTAAAATATATCAAAGTTTTGCATTCCCAGAATTATATACACATATTTTAATTCTTGTTATGAATGACGACATATAATGATTACGAAAATAAATAGTAAAGGCGCTGCTCCTACTTAGTCGAGCAGGTATATCGATTTTCCCCGTACACAAAAGTTCGGAGTCTATACACGAGCTCATCTCTGTTACGTCACGCGCGGTGGTGGCGCGTCGGGCGCACTTCCGGTCTGGGGCTTTAGCCAGTGCGGTACAACCGCTAATCGGGGGTCTTCAACGTGCACCACGCAGTAGTGATACACGACCGCACGCCGGTACGATGATCATCCAGATCAAAACGGGCAGGGTCCCTGGGTTCTGCAGCGCGAGCTCTCGCTCCACGTGCTCCGAGCTGGTGTACGTTAGCCCACTCGGCCACCGGTCCCCCCAATCTATCTATCCTGTCTCTTGTATTCTTCCACAGTTTTCTCACGCTGCTCGCTGACTTTGGCCATGTATGACAATCATCTTTTTGTCCGTGTGTATGTGTTTCTGTGCGCTTTAGCCTACGACTGCGGTTTGACTTTTGATTAAACCGAGCGTAGAGGTACCGACTACTGTCTTTCGACAATCAGGACGGCAGCGACTACGAGAAAAAAAAAATAAAAAAGTGTACGCCTGAGAGCAAATGAGATGTCGTTACCTTTCTTATTCGCGGGGCCCTTAGCTAAACCTACTACTTGCGTGAGCGGGTCCCTCCGCCCACGCTGCGGCCACGGGGGCGAAATTAGGTCATGTTCACCCGAACCACGCATCGTTCGCAGGTCACCTTGTTGTCAAATACCTGGAGGGTCAGCACGACGGCGCATCCTACCTCAGGGACTTGAGCAGAAGGGCAGAGGACTTCGACCGCTTCCTCCTCGTCACGCTGGACATCAGGTCAGAATCGCACTCGATTGTTTCAGAAACTTGAGAATCTTACCGACGGACAGGCCGTGCCTTGGCAAAATCATCACTTTTCGAACGTAACCAATCGGCAGCCTTTTCAACTCGAGTCGAGTTGAGAAGGTTGGTCAGCTGTCCTTTCTAATCTGGACATCAGGTCAGAATCGCACTTGTTTCAGAAACATGAGAAACCAGAGATGACAGAGAACATGCAGGCGAGATGGTGAACTTTCGACATCTTCAACACCCGACACTAAGGAACAAGAACTCTATTCCCAAGTCTCGCGTGTTCAAGATGATGAGAACCCGTTTTTTCCTAACCCGAGCGACGCGCTGATGCGGCGAGAAGAAGTGTGTGTGCCGTTCTATGAGTCTTTTGAGATCTGAATTTTGTTGTTTAAGCACAAACGCCTAAAATGCTTTTCTTTGATAAGTATAATATACAATACATCGCATATTATTTACTAGTAGCAAGCTTCATTAAAAAAAAAAGACAAGCGGAGAACTTTGAACATTGATGGGTCTCAAGGTCTCACTAATAAATGTGAGCAAACAAAATGTCAACCCGAAGAAAAACATAATCATCACATTTCTAGCGTTTAGTTGGTTAAGCCCAGATAATAACATTTTGTTTCAGTGTGGGTTTCCTTAACAGGTCAGAGATAATCGCATTTTCTTGTAGGACATTATGTTATAAGTCATGTGCAGGAAATTAACCCTTTGCCTATCGAAAAAAATTAAAAAAAAACGATATGAAAATACCAATTTTTTATGTGCCCTATAAATTTAATATGCAATACAAAGGTCAAAAACAAATGCCGAAATATTTATTATATGAGAAATCTTTAAACACACTGCAAAAGAAAAAGGGACTAAAGTTCCGCTTCACTGCATTACCGCGAACAGTTCACATCACCTTGCACATGAACGTTCGGGCCGGGCGTACCAGTACTGCAGACAGTTCACAGCACATTGCACGCAAAGTGAACGCAAAACGTGGAGGGGCTGAATAGGGATTTTCTAGATTGATTCTAGTCCATGCCGACACGCCGACACGATGTCCTCCTTAAAATCGGAGTCGTCTCAGCTCAAATCCAATAACTCACTTGCATTTCTATCGCTGTTCGATGAAAGATTCATTTCCTCGACTTCCGAATCTAAAGAGACGTCACAATATCTTCGTTTTTGCCTCAATTTTGAGGCAAGATCATCGCTACGAACGCAGCGACCAGAAGTTGATGTCGCCATTTTTAAATCCCCTGTTGCCTGCGTTGGAACAATTTTCTGCATAATTCAAAAATTTACCAGGTTTTTATTTTCCGTGCAGCGCCATCTATCCACGGCAAAGCTCACTAGAAACACGTGGACTAGCCCAGTTCGTCTATGGTAGCGTATTGGAGCCCGAATCAACGTGGACGAGCCCAGCTCGTCTTCGGGGCGAGCGGTACAAACAGTGTGGACCAACTCATGTCGTCCATGGTAGGGAAAGGGCTTTAAGGAATGCAGAAGCGCATCCCAAAACGACCCCTCCCCGCTTCCAGTTCCTCTGGCCGAGCACTAAGGGTGGAAGTCATCTTTTGCAAATTTTAACGTGAAAGTTTATCCCAGTGAGTACAAAAACGTATTTTGTGGGACTTTTAAAACTCGCTTTAATTCGGATTGTGAATTACCTTTGACGCCGAAGTTCGTAAAGAAAACTGAAAGTGGTGAAAAAGATGAGTGAAAGGAGCCGCTCCTGGGCATGGTGTTTCGGGTTATAAATGTGATAGCCTTTCTTGTTTTCTCGCTGCGTCATATTTGTTTACATGTTTTTTGTTTTGTTTTTCCGCACAAGCCACGTCTAACTGCGAACTCGGAAGTGAAATCGCACCATGTGAACCAGGCATAACGCGACTGGAAAGTGATTGCATCATAACATCTGCTCATTGAATCCTCCTCTCACAGACCGTCCAGGCAAGACATTGAAGCGACTTGCTACACCAACGCCCTAGACGCGCCACCCGTGCCCTTACAACCCGGTAAGGCTTCCTGTAGTTTTATTTGTTTCTGCAGACGCTGTCTGAATGTGTGTTTCTTCGTTTAAAGTTGATGGCCTAGTTCACGGGTCGGCAACCTTTTCGCTGCAGCGCCAAATCGCCGCGAAACAGAGACGAAGCGGGCTGGATGAAAAACCGAAGAGGTGATCAGCTTCTGAACATAAACGATATGACTCACAGTGAGCTGCTGCGAACCCCGAGAGATTGTGTGTGTATGCGTGCCAGGGGCCCGTATCATATGGCCTCGCCGGCAGCCGGATACCGACAACTGGCTTAGCTGGTTAGACATCACAAAAGCAGTTATTGTGAAACAAGTAGAAGACTGTGTTCTAGCTGTCCTTTGCTTTCCTTCTTTTTTATTCTATGTCAAATTAGTCATACAGTAACTCTCTGCGGATGTGTTCGAAGATGCCTTAGAGCAAAGACGCTTTGAACTTGCCTCAGGTATGTATTTGTTGATGTACGAGCAGAGCAACTGCAACATACAAGGCACGAATGTACCAGACTCACCAAATATCACTGCCGCCATCATGGTTTATCGTTGCAGGCTTGAAAAGCTGTGCCAAGTATGCGTAGGCGAAATCAATAGATAAAATTGACAGCAATCTCCAATGTCCTGTAATGCGTGGACCGCAGTGTATACGATAGTTTACCCAAGCGGCAAACTTAATGTGATATGTCCAGCGAATGTCGTTCCGCTTACGAATGACAAGAATCCTAATCCCTGCCACGCGCATTTGTTTTAATGCAACTTAACTCCACAAGTGTGATTAGAATATTTAATATAGTAAACTGTTTGGGTACCGTGCTCAATAAAAAAAAAAACATAGCTTAGTAGCTGACAATCTCTTCAAGAATATTTAAATGTATACTCCGTTCACCCTTAAAAAGATGCTGAATTAAACATGTTAGTGTCTATAATATGTGGCGCACGATCTTTCCACGAGCCAGCAGCCGCCGGTATGCGCCAGCACACGCAACGAAATCAACGTCACGGTCCCCCATTCACGCTAAATTAAGCAGAAAACAAATTGGGTTGTGTGTATGTTTATACAGCCTAGAACTTGGTCTGCCTTCAACGGGCGACGAGTCTCCCAGCTATAGATGAGAAATTTAGCCAGTGCAATACAACCGCTAGCCTGGGGTGTTTAACGTGCACCACGCAGTAGCGATACACGACCGCACGCCGATACGATGCTCATCCAGATCGAAACGGCAGAGGGGCGGGAATTGAACCCAGGATCCTGGGTTCTGCAGCGCGAGCTTTCGTTTAACGTGCTCCGAGCTGGTGTGTGCTAACCTAGTGCCACTAAATAAGGATTTAGTGGCTCTACGCTAGCCCACTCTTCCACCGATCCCCCCGTTCACGCTTAATATGTCAGTGAAATGTGTGGGCTCCAGCGAAAAGGAGGACAAGCTTTTCATCTCCACAGTGGGGTCTGGTGTAAAAGGTAAGCAATTAATTGGTATAACAAGCACAAAGCTTTCACTTGTGGTGATGAAAAGCATATCTTTGTCCTCCATTTCATCTTAAGCGCGAATGGGGGATTATGACGTCAATGATGTACTTCTTATAGTCCTGCCGGACATTGTGTTTAAATAAATTTGAAATAATTTTATTGTGTGGTATATCTATTCTTGTTAAAAAGGTTTTTTTTCTGTGTGATGTGAAAAATGGCTGCGTACGCTTTTTTTTGTTGTTGATATGTTGCTTCTAGCTAACCGTATTTCTTTTTTAGAAAGTGCTATATTTTGTAGATATTATGAACAGAAGCTGTGCGTATATTTTTCTGGTTTGTGCGCGACCTTAGTATTTTTGATAAATATTGGTATTTTGATTTTGGTATTTTGTATAAAAATATTTTAGCGTGTTTTATTTTTTTTTTTTTTTTTTGGAAAGTTAGTCCTGCTGCCAATCTCCAAACGGGCCCCAGACCCCGTCAAACTGCCTTTGGCAGCTTTTTGTATGGGGCACCGTTGGCTAAAAGGCCAAATAAAGATTGATTGAATTTCGTTGCGTGTGCTCGCGCACACCGGCGGCTGCTGGCTCGTGGAAAGAACTTGCGCCACTTATTATAGACACTAAATTGTTTGCTTCAGTATTGTCTTCCTCTTAGAATAGAAGCTCAGCCTTCAGGGCGAGCTTTCTTCCCTTGCGAACACAAGTGTGAACGTGTAGACACGCGCAACCAAAGCAGTGCGGAAGCCAGAGATCTCGCGCTGAAGGCGGAGCTTCTAGTCTCAGCTTAAGGGTCATATAAGACGCTTTGCAGCAGCTGTGCATGGGTGCCGCCATAAGCGACCTTCAGTTTTTGTTACCTTTTATTACAATTACTTCACTTGGTCATTACCACAGCTGGGCAGGTTATTGCCCTTATAGGTCCTGCTGTGTCTTTCTCCACAGCACTGACCTTTGTGCAGGCTCGTCAACGCCCGCTTTAGTTGCTTGGCATCTGGGAAAGACAACTGAAGGTCATCAATGGCTGCTGTAATTTGGCGCGTGTGTAAAGCGCCTATATTTATGTGTTTCTTTTTTTTCTGTTTTTTTTTTTGTTTTTTGTCTTTTTATTGTGGATGATATCCGTTGCTTTTATTAGTGCTGACTCCGAATCTAATACCATTTGGCCTCGAATCTGAAATCAACTGGTGACTGTGGCATCGAGAATTGTCAGAACGACGAATAAGAACCCGATAAGTGAAGAATGACTTCTTTTACACTTTTCATTCTGAAGCACAAAATTCGTTTATAAAATTCTGCGATGTAGTACCTTTAAATACCAAAATATATATATATATATATATATATATATATATATGCACGATTGCGTATTACTAAAAATGTATGTGCCCCTTTGTGTCGATACAATTTCAAGCGCTGTTCTTCACTGCGCCCCTGCCGTCGATATTTGCAGTGACATTTGACACAGTTAGCGTCAAATGTCACTTGTAGCCGCCATTGAATGTCCCTGTGTGGCAGCAGACAACTGAGATCAAGGCGGATCTTAATCGATAGAAATTACATCAATTTCGCCGCTAGGCAGGGGTGAGAATTTCTTTAGAAGTCATGTCACAGTCGCTTCGGAAAGCGAAAAGTTGCACATACATGGGCGTTACGTGAAGTGACCCCACGCGGCGTCAGCTTACGTGACCTCACGTGAGCACGTCTCGTGACGTCCGGTCACATGCCAAGTCCTGAATTGGAACGAAATTATACACCAATTAAATTTACCTTATAAATTTAGTGGGTTTAATTTATGCCAAGACACACGGCCGCACAGACGTGCAAATGTCTTGAAGTAGGGGCTTCGGTCTAAAAGCCTTCCACGCTCTCAAAGTTTTGATATGCGACAAGGTTCTTCCGTACGAGACGTCGTCGTGGCCTAGCTCCCGTAGGTCAGCATGATGATCGGAGACTCCGCGGAAGTTGATGTTGGTACTGAAGCCAAACCACAATATTTTAATGCGAAAGCAGTAACTGTCCCATGGAGAGAGCCGACGTCATCAGCTTTGAAGCCGCGCCAAGCGGAATCTTAAATCCTTTCTCCACGTGAAGCCAGCTCCCAGCTATGAAACCACGCGAAAAGCCTAGTCAAACGACACCTAGTTTCTCCGATCCCAAAGGAGTGGAGTAAAGCTGATGGATTTCGGCTTCGGACCTATTTGCTAGCGCGCGTCGACGAGGCTCCCATTGGCCGCTGCGGGTTAGATTCAACGGCCGCCACCCCATGGCGCTGCGTGTCCATCAGCGCGAGGGTAACACGAAACGTCCAAGGTCAGAGCGGCAAGGAGAGGGCGCTGCAGACGAAATAAGGGAGCGAAAGAATGACGTGCATGCTTTCGCATTCACAACTCATAAGAAGTGCTTTGGTGTACATCGAGCCTTCTTGTTTAGAAACACACGAACTGTGCTTTTTATGCTGATCCAACTAGCCCACTTTAATAATTTACTACAATAACTGGAGCCGATTGCTCTTATTTTATTACAATTTTACAAAATATTTTCTCTTGGCGCATTTTATTCACCCGAAGCTGTCATTTAGCAAGCACGGCCATATTTTTCCTGCTTGATAAGCAAAGGTGTCGCGGCAATATCTGGCAATATCAAAAGTCGTACAATGAAAACAATCAGCATTGTAAACTTAGTTGAATGAGTGAATAAACTTCATTGCAGTAATCGGTTATAGTACCCTCAATTGGAGCCCCTATAGTCTGGAGCCCCATACGTTACGGTCACCGGCACGGCATGGTGCACCAGCCATTGCTGGCCGGTGACCGTGTCATCGGTCAGCCGCTCCTCCCAGAAGGTGGGGGAGGGGTTGGGAAGAGGCGAGACAGAGGAAATGGCATTGCCAGACTATGTGGAGAAGGGTGGGACAATCGCCGCAGTGCGGGTACTGAGGCGGACCGCGGGAGTAGTAGAGGGGCGTCGGGAAAGTGTTGGTTTGGATTTGACGCCTACTGTGGGATCTGCGAGTAAGGGAAGAGTGAGGAAAAGGATAATGTCGTCCAGCGAGGCTAAGCTCAGTTTCCAGAAAATCACGTTTGATCATTTTACATATTCGCTGGGGAAAATTAGCAAGTACGCAAAGATAATTATATAGTTCAAACGACACGATGCACTATACAGAGACAATTTTATCTAAAACTCATTTAAAATATATACACAAAAGAACTTGATGGAAGAAACAAAAATCTTGCGAGCGAGTTGATGTATACCCACAGACCCCGATGCTTCGTGTATTTTTTTTTTAATGCGCGAAATAAGAAGGAAATTTGTTCGCCTCCCCTGACTCGTGCGGTTGCAGAAGTTTATTTTTATTTTGTATAATGCTAGAGTTCCTGTATAGGCTCTCTACAGGAATCAGAGTTGCGCGTTTGATTCTACGTGCCGCGTGCCGCCCTCGCCGCTATTCGCCGAGGTCCGATCACGTGAGGAGCCGTATCAAGTGTCGTGCAGCAAAGTAGACGTTGCACGCGCCCCGGCGTACGTTCCCCGGCTTTTGAGCGCGCCGCGCGCCTCGAACGCGCGGCGCTGCTATTCGCCGAATTCAGTCACGTGAGGAGCTGTATCTACATGCCATGCATGAACGCGCAACTCTGGCTCCCGTAGGGAGCCTATACATGAACTCTATCTAATGCTAAGCGAGCGCTCCCCCAAGCGACAGCCTCAGAAACTGTAAGGGGTCGGTAAATTTAACTACTTGGTCAAGGAGGTTATGCTCTTGTTTTTGATTGCGCCTGTAGCTGCATAGAAAAAGCTGGAAAAGGTAAAAGCCGCGCCGAGCTTCGGCACAGAAAAAGTCACCCGCACGCACAATTAGGGTCTTTTTTAGGTCATCTGTTGCGAACTATCTCAACCCTGCGGTGCTAGTCGAGGTGCCCTTTCCAGTTTTATAATCTGCGAATTGCCGGACTGTTCATTCGCAACTTTCAGCGATAGTGGTACCGCGGTGTGAGAATCGCGCTCTCTAGCTCGTGGATGATTGGCCTCTTAATAAGCGGGCTTGCCTACACCTTCCTGGCGTGAAAAAATAACGTAAGGCTCTGATACTGCTCGTATATAGCAAAACTAAAATTACTCACACGTCGCAGACCCAACCTCGTACCGCTGTTCTACCACGATCATCCAGATGACAGCCTTTTTGATAGGCACCAGTGCGCCCCCTATAGGTTGTGAAAGTTGCGAATGCCGCCGTAGCATTTCACTCATGATAGGGTCGACAGTCGCAAAATATTCCTTCCGCAATGCTAACTTGCAGTAAAACACAACTGGCGGAAGAGGCGTGTTTGTCATTTCAAACCTTTTGCAACGGAGCTGTTAAGGGCTAGTTTTCCCAGGATCGTGTCCGTCCTCAAATGACCTGATGACACAAAGCTCTGGACAGCTATCGCCATCCATAAGTGACGACGGCAACCAGACAACCGGCTGACCGGTTGTCTGGCTGCCGCCGTTGCTCATAGATGGCGGCAACCTTTCGAGCCTTTCCACTGTGGCTTGCCGACTTGCGTCAGGCCATTGCTTCATTCCCACCATTGTACAGCTTCGCTGGTCTTCCTTATTCATCAGAGTGGAAAGGCTGACAGTTTTTATAGGGGTTCTGTCGGCCATGTGCTGCGAGGGTTTTCCAAACCTAGTTGCATACTAGAAAGGGATATACCCTTAAGGATGTCAATCAGCTTGCCCCAGGGCTTGCATCCTAAAGCCGGGGTCACGCTGCTTATGCACCATACAATGGACAGTCTCACATGCTGTAGGTGTAACTGCGCGTAACAACGAAGACTAGGAGAAGGAACACACGACAGAGGACGATCGCTGTTTCGCTGCTTCGCAAAGAGATTCGACTCCATATACATTATACAAAGGGCAGTCGGCAAACAGATTCGAACGCAAGTCACCATGAGATCCGTGCTTTGAATGCAACATGCCAACGAGTTCAAGGAGAAACTCGGTACGCTGCATTCAAACCACGGATGTCGCCGTGACCGATTTTCGCAGACTATATTTTGTACGACGTATGAGGTTGGTTGGGGAACACAGCTGGGGAACACCGGCGAATACGTATGCCGGCAATTTTAGCGGTCCTCTACGACTTTTTGCTTACGCGCAGCAAGTTCAGAAGCAACAAGCACCGCATGCAGTTTTCACATGCCCAGAAACGGCCAATATACACATTTTTTCACAAGGGCGCAGCCACCTTGAATGACGTCACTTCTGGTATGCGTTTAAACATCGTTTTGATCTCTTTACGCCGCTGAAAGGTATTCCCAAAAAATGCGTGATTGTCACAGATTCTTGTTTTGCCTCACCTATATTTTCTCGCATATTCCACGTTTAAATGTATTAACACTTTTTCGTCCCGCATACAAGACATAAAACCCGCGTGATTGAGAACGAAAGGAAATTAAGAACCTGTATAGCCACAGTAAATCGTGCACGGGATAGGAATCATCACCCTCATGACTGCTCCAGGGCCTTATACGCTCGACAATTCAAAGACAGTTTCTGACAGGTGATCTCCTCCGCAATTACGAAGGTTACAGCAGGTTGCTTCGTTCTTGTCAATATTTCACGCAATATATCTAACTCCAAAAAAGCATCTCCAAGTAAAAACTAATGATAGAAGCAAACGTTATGTAATATAATCGCTAAAACCACCTCCGCGAAAATTGTTTTTAAAGGGCGAACACTCTTCAAAAAGTGTTTTCGCTTCACTTTACTGTATAAGACACGTTTCCATACCCTTTTCAACATCATTCAATATATGAAATGTGTTCCATGAGACAGACCCCTATTGTAATATAAAATTGGTGTATCACTCAGAATGGGTACGAAAGGGTATAGCCATTTGTGTAAGTCTTTAAAATAGAAATTTTACGCACTTAAGAGTCTAAAATTACCTTAGTGAGTGCACTGCAGCTGAGCTCGTGCTGTCTCACAACTGTTCAAATGCTGCTTCATACCGCAGGCGGGGGAGCATAAAACAAAATGGGGGGGGGGGGGGGGGGGGGGGGGGGTTGGTTGTTTTGAAGTCTCTGATGATGGCTACCATTTTGCAATTCACCGCCTGCAGGTTTCCACGCCTTCGGGAACAGCAACCCGCTGCGCCCCTGGCGGAAGGTGGTGGAGTCCCGGCGTCAGTTCAGCGACATCGTCAGGCGGTTCGGCAAGACGAGCCGGAAACAGGCCCTGGTTGACGAACTGCTCGCCATGATGCGGAACAGCACAGAGTACGAGGACAAAGACTTTAGATTTCTTGTTCACAAAGAAACACTGGGAGGAGTTTGGCTGTTTTATATTAGAGAGTTATCGTAAACAATTCCCCCTCCACTTTCCCCCTCCTCTACGCTATCCGCAGAGAACACGCAGCTATAGCGTATGCTCGTCGCAATCCTTGCCTGCAGAGTTCCCGGTCTCTTTGATAGGATTCCACAGAGCGTTGCGGGTCGGCAGAAACGACCTACGGAACTCCCTGTTATAAGTGAAGTGCGTACCTGAGGCACCTTGGACAATGCTGACCAACTTTTATTCGAGACGTTTGATTCAAACACCACCAATCCGTAAACAAGTAGGGTTGCGCGTCGAAAAGATTGTGAGCCTCTATGGTCTTACAAAATGTGTCTAGTTTAAACTATTTACGGCGTGCGATGGAGGGCGGAGAGCATTGGTGTTCTTCTGTGGTATGCAGCAACACCGCCAGTAGATAGGACAGTGGGACATCTCCTCGGTGTCCGACGAAGAAGTCACTGCGACGGAAATGGGTCCGAGCAGTCCGACGTGAACGCAGGCACCCAGCGTTCTCTTCGCGCTAGCAAACAGTTCGCCCTGTGCTAGCAAACAAAACCTTCCATAGCACACTTCTGAACCGGCATCTGGGTTCACATGTCGCCGGATCGCGAATGCAATGCAGCCGTCGGGTGGCCGCTCGGAGGTTATGGCCGCGAATCGAATGCAAACGGTGAATCGTCCGAAATCGTGTGCTGAAAATCTTAAAACATTTGCCGGTCATTGCTCGATGAATCACAGTCTATTGTTTCCTTTGGACGATTGCGACAGCCTTGAGACTGCTTCTGACGCTGGGTAAACAAGGTCAAGATGCCCGAGTGCTGGTCTTTATACAACATCTTATGCCACGACAAGACGCAGGACAAGTCAAGTTGCAAGTTCATTTCGGTTTCGGTGTCATAGCGTTTTCACGATTAGAAACCACAAACAAAAAAGTTCTGGAAAATAAATTTGCCGCTCTAGGTTGAATATCATGTACTTATTTAGAAATTATGTTCACTTAAAACGTTCATATTGACGCCAAAGAGGAAATCACGGTAGAAGAGACCATGCATTTCCTATGGAAAATTCTTATCCTTATTCCCAGCAACTACTGTACCTATTGGCGTCGGAGTGTTTGTATGCGTAATATACTAAAATAAGTATAACAGCTTCGCAGAGTTACTATTTTCGATTTTGCGTTCATTATTTTTTTACGGGGCTTAGAATTCCGAAAAGAAAGACTATTTTTTTTTTTAGCTTCCACTTTCAAGCGCCCCAGAAAATAATTTAAAGGATAATATATACAAATTGTTATACCGCCTGGCAGTGTAAAATGTATTTGTGAATCTATATCTGTTAAACGATTTCCTTAATGTATCGTCCTTACGAAAGTAATTGCGGAAGTTTTCGCTTCGAAACTATCCTCTTTTAAACACCATTTTTTTTCTCTACGCAGTGGCGCCATCCGTGATCGTGCTTGCTAAACTCCACGTGTTAGTGATCAATGAGTGTATGCAACACTCTATTACTCCGCTGCGAGGAATTCACTGCGTGCGGTCGTGTGGTTCACTTAGGGTGGAGACACCCGCCATTTTGTGGCGAACTTTGCTATGCTTTCACCAGCTTCATATTGCGTCCATCTTTCCAGAATTTTCGTTAAACGCGACGTTTTTGCACCACGACTTTGTCACACACACTCTACAGGATACACACCCAATGAGGAGCTAATACTGACCTTAGGTGCCATATTGTGGCGCTCCATTAGCTCCATTATGTCTCCACTCTGTCAGCGGAAGCGGCCGGCAGATGGAGACACCCTATAGAGCGTGACCTGGAAAAGCGCATTCTATGCGAGAAATCTTGTACAAACAAAAGTCTTCGACAGATCTAGGCTCACGCACCTGTGCCCTGCTCTGTAAATATGTTTTTTTTTTTTTTTCACTTTATGCGGAGCCGAGGTCGAAGCTACAAGCACCAACGTGTTGCTCCGAACGATGGATGCACTACATGATCTCGCGTGCTTGGGAGAGGCCCGCGGCTCGAACTTGTAGCTTCTGCTACACTGATCAGTCACCCGCAGATCCCAGGGATCCTGGGATCAATCCCCAACCTAGCCCGTTTTGATATGGATGAGTATCGTACCAAAGCGTGGCCGCGTATCATTACTGCGTGATGCACGTTAAAGATACCAGGCTAGCAATTGTAGTGCACTGGCTAAATCGCTCATCTACAGCTCAGACACCGCACACCGATTTGGGCTGAATAACTTCCGGCTGTATTAAAGGGATATTGAACCAAAGATGTTAGTGTCTATAACAAGTGGCGCACGATATCTTTCCACGAGCCAGCAGCCGCCGGTGTGCGCGAGCACACGCAACAAAATTTACATCACACTCCTCTATTTACGTATAAATTGGGTACGGAAACGAAATGCTTGTGGTTATTTCTTTGTTTAGATATGGCCTATGTTGTGGCGGCAGCCCAGAAGCACCAGTCTAGACTTTTGTAGCGTATCTGGCTCCCAAAGAAAGAGTCGCGAGTTCGAATAATGCCTCAAAATCTTCAAATTTTTCTTTAAAATGAATTACTTTATAAAGGGAAATCATTTGAAACATGCGGCGATCTATTATTCTGATTATATGTCATGTTTTTTATACACTTTCATTCTACGCATGACATCACGTTTGACGTGAGCGTTTTTTTTTTTTTAATTCACGCGCGAGGTCATGTGGCTGTGACGTCATGACCCTATCGACCAATCCTGGAATTTCAAGTCACACCACCGACATCGGCTTTTTTACGACACGAGCTCCTTAACGTTATCACGTAACAAGGTTGCAAAGCAGCGGGTATATTCTCATCTTGTGCTATTTTAGTCTCTTATACGACTAAAAAATCTGGTCCTTGTAGTCTTGATAACCGATGTTTTTATTTTTCTTGCATTCAGACCACGGACATTTAAAGATCCAAAAACGTGAATTTATACCGTGAAAAAACATTGCAGTGGATTGAAATTGTGTCTGTTAGATATTTCCCATACAGTCGTGGTCCCCATAAGCTCTCTAAACGTTTGTTGTAATCACTTGCCTTTTACATTTTCTTGGAAGCCTACTAGTGGTCTGTCCTGGCAGCCCATCACCGAGAGTCTTTTGACCGAGGGTCAGTCGGCTCAATGCGGGGTTTAGAGATCGGTCGGAGTCTCTTGGGAGATACCGTGAGCTCCACTCCACCTTACGTTTTGGGACATTTTCTCTCGCCGCTCGCACCCTGCGTCGTAGGCAGGGTTCGCTTGTTGGAACTGCCAGAACACTCCCATCTCCTCGGTGTTGTCCTTGCCGTCGTCCACCTTGACATCAGGGTTATCTTCATGACGGTTCGCGGCGTTGCTTCTGGCTTGGCGGTCACCGTTGTTCGGTGGCGCCTTGATCGCCCGTCGTGCAAAGCCGCCAGGCCTGCGACGTTGACGGCGTTGGGGGTGTCTGCTCGGGGGGCGCAGGCGGACGTGTACCTTTTTGGCTTTCTGGCGACGCGTCCTCCACCTCGTACTCATCCATCGTGAGCTCCGTGACTGTATCAGATGAGCCTAAACATGACCGTTCAGTATCACTGCAGCAGCAGGTCTGATTTTATTGGTGCCACGTCACTGGGCCTGGCCAATGCCCAAGGTATGCAGACTTCTGTATATTACATCTTCCCTTCTTTAAGTTGGGGTTGTGGGGATATTTATACAGCGTGTAGTTGGTCTGCCATTAAAGTTGCGACGAGTCACACGCTGTAGATGAGCAATTTAGCCAGTGCAGTACAACTGCTAGCCTGGGGTCTTTAAACAAAAACGATATACATACAGGAGCAAATATAATTAATGGCAAAAAAACACTGACATGCAAAAGGAAATTCACACACACACACACAAAAAAAAAACGAGACTTAGATTATCTGGTTGAAGTTTTCGTCATAAGTCAGGACGACTCGAGGTCTCCACTGCCTCGTTGATCTTCCTAACTGGGTCCCCTGCTGACTAGATGTACTGGGTGTACTCCCAGCTGTTCCTCCTGGAGCTCTTGCTACGTTGAGGTGGTCTCCTGCAAAATCGTAACTGTGTTTCTTTTTTTTTTTTTTTTTTTTTTTTTAGTAAAGGAAGACGCATATTGGATGATTACCACACTGTTTCAGCCAGCCCGGAAGGGAGGGGGGCGGGGGGGGGCCGGCCGTGTTTGTTCTTGTAAACTTTACATTATATCGACTACGGTGCACTCGAAGATAAAGCAACCTCGCTCCCCCCCCCCCCCCCCCCCCCCCCCCCCCCCCCCCGAAAATAATTCCATGCTACGCCACTGCCGGGATGCGACCGTTGTCTTTCAAGGGACGCGGTGGCGCGAGATCTTGGTCAACGTTGGTTCGGCGGTGTGCCGGCGGTAACCCTCTTTCTCCGAAGCGAATACGCTGCGTAGTCGTCTGCTTGTTGATACGCGCTTCAAGACATTGCTCACCGTTTAAAATCAAACAAATCACACACTATTTAACAGGAATTCTTAACGCTCATTGGTTCGATAAGCTTCCTGCTCGACAAAGCTCAGTGAGAAATCCAGATTTGGCTAACGCAAAGAAAAAGCTTGGTAATCTGCATGGCGGTTGTTTACCAGCAGTGCTGTGCAGCGCTGCGGGGAAACTCCACCTTCCCCTTCTCCGCTAATGATAAATTGGCGGTGGAAGCCACGAAGAGGAATGCGGTACTCTGGTTCCGCCATCTACTACTCTATTCAGAATGTGCTAACGTTGGAATGTACCTAGGGCATGCCCTGTTAAAGTCTCCTAGATTAAAAGGGGCTACATTTTCCAACGCTACCTAAAGACAAAGCGCAATCTTTCCGCTCAGTGTTCAAGCAGTGAGGGTCTGAGTCAAACGCTCACAAGGCCGTAGGGCAGAACATTTGTCCTCATTATCCTCGCCTGCTTTAAAGGTGGCTGCCATCTTTGTTTCCAGGTACTTCCCAGACGCGCAGCTCCTGAAGGACGCAGAAGGGCGGTCCGAAGAGTCGCTTCGAGGCCTCAGCTCCGTCTTCGTGAGGGTCGAGGACGAGTACTACGGATCCAGGTACCCGAATAACGTCCGCCATTTTAGCTGTTGCCATCCAATTCTAACCTAGTCGTTTGTAGCGCGAAAACTCCGTATCCCTGACGTCTCCACCAACAGACGTTTCCAAGTATGACCTCTAGGCGCCACCACTTGTTTGCTGTTGTGTGTGGGCACTCGGTGAGAGGTTAAGAACCCAGTAGATGCCTCGAGCACCAGCTTCCTGCTTTTAATAAAACTTCGGTGCACGCGCAGTCAAAGCCCGGAGGAAGGTAACGAACCCAGCGAAGGTTCAGGAACCGATGTTTCTTAGCCTGTGCCCGCCCTCTCTTATACACTGCCATTTACTTCTCTACGTGACTTGCCACTTTCCTAGGGTGTCACTAGTGACCTATGTACGTTGTACTAGAGCTTAAAGGGGAACTCAACAGGTTTTTGAGAGAAACGAGTTAGAGGAGAATCCTAAGGAATTTTTGTCCCGTGAATTTGAATATCCCGAGCATTTTACCCGCACATATAATTAGACGCAAAAAGAAAAAATGAAAAACCAACCACTCGGTGTTATGTCATACCCAGAGGTTTCAACTAAAGCCATTAAGTGAGCTGCGCTTAAAGTATCAGCACTCCGTTCCCCGACAATGTTCGCCGCCATTTTGGTGCTTGTGCAGAGCAGACGCAACTGCCGATCGTCATTATTCAAAAGTGGGACTTCCTCAGCATTAGATTCGGTGTTAGGAAACTCGTGTAATATTGCTTTGCTTTGTCGCGAATTGTTTAAACATTTGTGGAGGGCGGAAAAGCGTTTCCATTGATTTCAAATAAAGCTTCAGATAACTGGAAACCATGATTTTAAGCCACAATATGGCCAAGTATCGTTACTCTGAAGCGTAACTTATTTAGTGACACTAGTTTCAACTTTCAACCTTTACTTTTTAAACTTAAACTTTCCTTCTTTTTTTTTTTCTTTTTTCATTAATTCATCGCATCTACTCAATTAGTTGACTTTGTTCACCTCTTTTGTGATACAAGCAGTGAATAATCAGTTGTGAATAAGGCTCTGTCATTTCCCAGAGTTGCTTCCTGTTCTCGTCTTTGGCGCTAAAATTTTGTCATGAATAGCCAACAGTTCGCCCAACAGTCAATTTTATTTCAACTGCCTCGCGCGTGCCGCTCGTAAGAAAACGCTTTCAATGTTTTTGACTGCTCGGGTAAGGTTTGCGGAAGGTGTGGAAACGTTAAGAATTCCCTCCTGTCACCGAACGCACCGGGAAGGAAGGGCTTCGGCGCTATTTGGAAAGCGCTCGTGTGGCTATTCGCTACATTAATTTAAACTATGATTTTGATATTCCTGGTCCTGGAGGTCAAATGAAGACGATTTAAGTGTTTTCTTCTCAAATACAAAACTGATTCTGTTTCCCTTTTAAGGCTGGTTCACCCATTTCCGTTTGATAATGACCGACGGCGCTACGACTCCTTGCGTTCCACTACGGCGCGTTGCGCAGTGTTGAAACCAGGTGGCACCAGTGTGAGCACTTGAAAGGTCCTGAACTAGACTAATGGTTTTGCAGTGTGCGCGATATCAAGTCTATGCACTATACAGAAGAAATGGTCGCTCTTTGTTTTCGAGAAATATCGATAAACCCCGAGGATCTAACACACCAGCCAAATATGTCAAAATTTGGAAAAACCAAAAATGCCCGAATCGAAGCTGTCCCGCAAAAACCCACGCTTTAAAGGGATACTTCAACGAAATTTAAAATATTCCCGTCGTGTTCAAAAATAGGTTGAATATGATCCACAATATCCGTAAATGACAATCGCACGTTTGTATTTTGAGCCTGGTGGCTGTATTTTTCGTTCTAAACGGCCCACTCTGGCAAGCGCTCGGAGAAGGCCCAGCAGAGACCACGTGACATCCAACGCAATCGTGACGTAAGTCATCTCAAGACGAGCAAAGCTACGGCGAGGCTGACGTCGAAAGGATGGCCTAGTCGTTCCAGCCACCGAAGCGGCTGCTTTTGCACGAATTTTGAGTGACGGGTTAATCCTCTGTAATCTTGTAGGGGGACAATAGCGACTTCTGCGACACACAAGAGGCATTCTCGGGAAGAGGGGAGTTCCTCCTGCCCCTCTTCTCTCGTCGTGGCCGGAGACGAGACAACCTCCGTCACTAACTGTCAAGGTTCCTAGACGGGCATTACAAGCGAGGCGTTAGCGACATCCACCAGGAGCTCTTTGCTAATCGTTTAATTCGTTTTAAAATTCCTTTTCGTGATTTTTTTTAACAAGATATTGGTATGTTTGATGTGATACTGCTTTTTTGAACACATATAGACCAAAAAATGAGCGCCGAAATTTCGTTGTAGTATTAAGGGAAGAAAATCTTCAGCTTGCGTTGAGCGGGACAACGATGCATCTTGTTTCTCGCTTCCTCGTCGTATAGACATGTTTTCCAAGTATGGGGGTGGCGCGCATGTTCCATGGAGAAGCCATATTCCCGTCTCCTATTTTAACATAACGCCCGACGAGCATAGATGTATTGCCCGACACCGATAATAACCTTTAAAAATCTGCAAAGAAAAAAAAAACTCCTAAATTTTAAGAAGAATAGAGCCCTAAAGCACGAAACCCTGCGCACTGTCAGAACTCTTTCAAGCACGCGGTGAAGAATGATGCATGCTGAAGTGGCTGCCCAATAGGTGTCGGCAGTGTGTGTTTCTGGTCGGTTCCGAGGGAAGCCCAATGCCCAGTCCTGTCCCCGCAGGACGCACACCGTGATCCTGGTGGACTCGATGGGCAGCGTGGACTACGTGGAGCGCACCATGCAGCAGCCCATCGACCTGGACAGAGACGAGCCGTGGCTCACGACCGTGCACCGGTTCGGCATTCAGGAGACCGGCTCCCTGGTGTCCCGGCTCTGAAGGCCTCCGCAAAGGGGAAGGAGACGCCTTCTGGACTGCCCAAGGACCGCCTCCTTGTGTCATCTGGGTGGTGCGCGCCCGAGTCGCCCCTCCGGTTATCAACCTGCTTCGTATTTATTCCAACACCAACGCGTGCCTTCCTGCGGGACATGCATCGACATTGCAGACTTCTGGCTTTCTCATCGCAAGATTCAACGGACTCATTTTGTGTAATGAAACTTTTTTTTGCTTTTGTATTTGTGTGTGTGTGTGTACCACTTCAGCTGCAGCCTCAACGAAGCGAGCACTATAAATAAATAAATTGCCACGTTACGTGCTGCTCCACGTGCTAGTTCATTGCGTTTATTTTCCTTTCGTTGGTGACCTCTATACTCCAGTATTTTTAAGCAAAAAGCGCCGAAAAAATACAGGGACACAGACGAAGAAAACAAGACAAGGAGCGCCTTGTCCTGTTTCCCTTCGTCTGTGTCCCTGTATTTTTTCGGCGCTTTTTGCTTGCAATGAACCAACTGGCCCAAATCTCCACTTTACTGCAGTATTTTTATGCACAATATACCGTTCTAAACATTTCTGGCCCCTTCCTTGTTGTCGCACTGCATTATGACGATCTGATGTGCTGCACGTAAAATAGTACTAATACGTAGAAAAAAAAAACTTGTGTCGATCTTTCTGGTAAACCCGGAAACACAGAATGTGTCATTGCTTGCATTAGGCATGCGTTATTGTTATTTGCGCTTGGTTACGGAGAGCTTTGTGGGGCTTTGGATGCGTTGAGCATACGGCCGCCTCCTCGTGTGCTCAGAGTGTTTATTAAAATCACTAATCCAAGTTTTAATTTATCCAGGAATGGAGTGTCTGATGAGTATCATATGCTTTAACTAGAATATTTCACGTGTTCTACAGATCCTTTAATAGGGAATACGAGGGGGTTCAAAATAGAACCGGAATTTGGTAATAAAAAGCATTATTTTTATTTTCATTGCATATATACCCGTTCCGCGAAGGCAACAGACACGAGACAGGTTTTGAAATAAGCTGCGTCAAGCTAAAATGACACGTTTCAAATTTATGAGCGCATCATCGGGTCAAGATACCTCGCTATCTAAAAGCTAAGTTATGATCATAAATGTGCGTTCGGGACACAACGGTGGCTGTTTCAATTTAGCCGCCACTTCTCTCTTCAACGGCTAACTATTGCTTAGTCAATCCATGGTATCGGTGGTGAACAAGGTGTTAAACTGGGCGAGTTGGTAAAAGTTTGACATGGGTGGGTGTAACAGCTTCAAAATCGAGGACGAAAAAGGAAAAGACACGACAGGACAACAGCTGTACTCGCAACTGAAATGCTTTATTTGAAAAGGAAAAGAAAACATACGTCAGTACCAGATAACACAGTGTGTGATCAAACAATACGCCACACAAAAGGTACGAGTCATCAAAATAGGTTCACTAGACACAACTTATGCCAGTCATCGTCTGGCGCAAAAAGGACAGCTCTTTATCACACAAGGCCAACCGACGGCTCATTCACACATCTTTCTTCTGAGCACGGAATATAAAAAGCCTCAATAATTTTGCAAGTGACCCTCTCTCTATTCCTCCCTTCAACCGTCACCTCGTCAAAGGCCGGCTGACACGTGCAGTCTCTGCAATGCAAAGGTAGGAGACCCCCCATCGTGGCCCTCACTCTCAGCGAGTAAGCATGCTCCCGGAGCCTATCGTTAAGGCACCTCCCTGTCTGGCCTATGTAGAATTTACCAGATGACAGGGGTATCTTGTACACCACACTCGAGACACATGACACAAAAGGCTTTGCGTGTCTTTTGGTACACTTCGCCCTCATCCGATTTTCGGCTTTGGGGCCGCCCTTGCACAAATCTGGCTCATTTTTTAAGGGCCCGAGAACACCGTGAGTCAGCTTTTGGCGAGCACTTCGAAAATGGTAATAGTCTTCCTTTCTTCTTCCTGTTTTGACCCCAGTAGGACGCATCCTATCTCAAGCAGTGGATGGTGGCTGACGTAGACTTAATATTCTGAGCATGAGGGGAGAGTGAAATTCGTGAGTGGGGCCATAGCGCGGCTTACTTAGTACTCTGCCCTTCGCTGCCCGTGGCACCAGCGGACGTCTATTTGGAAAACACCGGAGTAAACGGCAGTCGGTTCGTGCTCCGTGCGTTTTTGAACGGCACCAAGAAAGGTACACACGACAAACGTGCGTTTACATTTCCTTGTTTTAACCGACGTTCTAATTAATTGTTGCTATGAATGTCCTTTTTTTCGATTACTCATATTTATATCCTAGAAACTGTTTTTTTAGTCACCAACGCCTCAACCGAGGCTCGACCTGTTCAGAACCAAAGGAAGAAGAGTATCGAGTCAAACCTTATTTATTATTTAATTATCACCTTACTGTTACAACAATGTCTGACAATGTATGCCGGTATGGTAAGATGTACATAAATCAATTCTTATTCTAGTTTTGGCTAGATGTATGACGACTTCTACAGCTTCGCGATTTCGACAATGGAGAATTTTAGTAGATCGGTCCGATGACTCCGATAACGATACCCGATGCGCTGCCGCCGCTTTTGCGCATTCATCATATATCGTTATCGGGGGCATCGGAGGTATCAAAACGATCTACTAAAACTCTCGAATATCAGGCAACGGCAGCAACGAGGAAGCTTTGCTCTATCTTCGAGATAAATATAGTACTTCCCTTGCTTCGCTAAAGAAGCTCAATGAAGAACACGAAGCATTCGTGAGGCACAACATGGCACTCCCATCCAGTGCCTCAGTTCAAAAGGTGTTCAGCGTAGCAGCCGACATCTTCACAAAGAAATAACGCAAAATGTCTGACGAGACTTTCGAGAGCCAGATGTTGCTCAAAATACTCAATGTCATTAAATGGAACAGGTTGCAACAATAAGAACTTGAATAACTCTCTTCCCTTTGTTTCTTACTTGAAGACAATATTCTCGAAAGTAACGGATTACTTTTTGGGGTAAAGGTTACTTACTTCTATGGGAGGGTAATTGTAATTGTAATAAATTACATTTTAGCTTTGAGTAATTGTAAATGTAATTCCTTAGTATTTTTCAGTAACGTCTACAAGTCTGCCCACAGCCATCCGGTCTCCCCACTGTAGACTTCCCACAAGTAAGCGACCCCTTAAAGAAAAGAAAAAAAGACGACGACGAGACCTCGTGAGCCGGAGCACTGTGTGTGCACGAGCACGTGTGAGACTGGAATGCCTGTGTGGCGATCGTGACCGACGAAACCACAGCCTGTGTGGCCACTCCAACCGCTTAAGTATTAAAACGTTCCTTTTATCTTCTTTCTACTAATGCGAGTACCCTTTTTCTACCTTCTGATCTGAACGAAGACCAGAAGTTAACATCTCATAAGTGGGATATGGATCGATGACTGCCCGGAAGTACAACGAGCTTCACGCTGTTTGACTAAATCGAAGATGAACAAGGACAAGCTTCCACACACGACCAGCTCAACCGAAGCCACCGATCAAGGCGAAGGAGTCTCCGTGCGTGAACTCCTTAACGTGATCATGGAAAAAGATCGTCTGCTAAAGGACTTATTGGAACGCCTGATTTCGACTACAGCAACAACATCATCAGCGGCGGTGGAATCGCAAGGCGTGACGACATTCCAAGTAATGCCCGACCTGAGTAAAAGCATTTCGAAATTTGACGGCAGTGAGGACGCAGCATCAGCTCGTGAATGGGTGGAGAACCTGCGGCGAACGGCGACGCTCCATAAATGGCCGTCATCATTTCTGCTCGAGAGCGCCAAGTCCCACATCACGGGAGCCGCCAAGGATTGGCTACGCTCACGCAGCGTTGACATCACCTCGTGGGAAGAGTTCAAGGACCAATTTCGCCGAACCTTTGTCAGTCAGACGCGTGCAGCGGAACGCTGGAGAAGGATGCAGGATCGCGTCCAGCAGCGGAGCGAAAGTACAACGGCCTACTTACACTCTAAAGTTCGTTTGTGCAAGGAGGCGGGACTTGACTTTTGCGATACGCGGGAGCAAGTTATCATGGGCCTGCGTTCAAGACAATTGAGTACGATGCTGTTGGGAAAAACCCATGACGACGATGACGACCTTCTGCACGATATCCAAGAATTTGAGAGGATCGAACGCGAAAGGCAAGAACGTTTTGGTGGTCCCCGTGACAAGAAGAGCATGACCGATGCGGCCAGTATCCAAGACCCAGGTGCGAAATTTGCAAGAAAAACTGGCGATGCAAGGAACACCACTGACAAACGGCCGCCACTCTCGAATGAAAGAGAACGAAAATGTTACAACTGCAACCAGTATGGCCACTTGGCACGGGACTGCCCCCAGCCTAAGCGACCCTTGAAGTGCCTGCGCTGCAACGGAACTGACCATACCCAACGTCATTGCAGAGAGGTGGCACAACCAGAGCGTAACGAGGCAAACACAGTGAGTGAACCATCGAATGAAACAGTGAGAGTTGGTGTTTTGCTGAAGCAAGTCATGCTAAATGACAAGTTCCCCCTCATTGGACTCATTGACACGGGCAGCTCCGGCTGTTTACTTCGTGCGTCAGCGGCAGCTCGATGTGGCACAGAGCTTGTTCAGGAGTCAACACCGTTGTATGGTTTTGGAAACAGCAGCGTGCCTGTGTCTAGGAGCATTGGAGGATGCAAGGCTGACATAAAGATCGATGGTGTCCTAGCGAAGGATGTTCCAATTCTTGTTGTCCCGGATGAAGCCCAGGCGGTGGACCTATTGGTTGGACAAACGTTTACTGAACTGCCCTACTTGACATATGCAAGAGTTGGAGGCAGTTTTCGATTCTGGCACCTAAGCGACTGCCCGTTTGCGCACTTAGAACCGCTTGAGCTCCACCAAAAACTACAACGGAAAGCAAGGGAGGAGGTCATTCTCCAGAAAGACTCGGTCAATTGGATAACTCTGACGGCAGACGAAAGGGTCACAGGCCCTGTCATTTACAGACACTGCGGGACGGACATTATAATTGACATGACTCTCGGTGAGGTAACGATACCTATGTATCCTGCAAGTAATGGTGATATCGTCATCAGGAAGAGACAACCACTTGGGCGAGCCAAGCAATTTGAAATCTTGCAGGTTGACATCAAGGACACTTCTGAAGTTCACACCGGTGGCAAGCAAGATAAGGCGAGCGAGATCGAGCGACGACCCATCCAGGGGACAGAAGTTAACATTGGACCTGCAGTAACCAAGGTGCAACAGTCTGAACTAGTAGAACTGTTGAACGAATTCAGAGAGTGCTTTGCAATGACGCCAAGTGAATTGGGTTG